GCGCTTTAAAGATGATAGTCAGCACCTTGAAGCGCACCCGGAAGGCCACAGGCAGCCAATGCAGCTCGCGCAGCAGCGGCATCACGTGGGAACGTCGAGTCCCCCCCAACACCGCCCGCGCGGCCGCATTTTGGACCAGCTGGAGCCTCCGGGTGCTCCTCAAGGGGAGCCCCATGTAGAGAGCATTACAGTAGTCCAGCATTACAGTAGTCCAGTGCATACTTGGATTTATGGGATGTCATTTAGTTTTGTAATCCAACCACAAGTTCTATCAAATGGAACATGGTGTGATGCCTGGAATTAACACTTCCGAAACCAGAAATTTGTTTTTAATAATGGAGGAGAACAACATTTGGGAAAAAGCTTATCTTAAGCTTTCTTCATTTTAACAAATTAGGGTAGCAAAATGTTGCTGCTATTATTGTTAAAATTTGGAGAGGTCTTTTCTTTTGTTGTCTTGTCACCAGGTTTTCTAGCAGTATATTAATGTGCCTCTTGTATTTTTAAAAATTTAAACATTTTATTTTAACAAATTTTATAGAAAAAAATAGAACAAATGCACAAAAAAATGAAAGAAATATATGAAAAAACTACCAAAATGAAACCAAACAAGCAAGCAAACTAACAGAAAGGTGGAAACTGTTTATATTTGTAAAATGTTAATCAAATGTCAAATTCCATACAGTATTAATCTTGTGAACTCTAAAGCTTCCTCCTTCCGTTTGTATTCAAGATGGACAGTGATTAATATTTATATGTTACTTATATGTAAGGGTGTAGGTCTATACATATGTTGTATATAGTATGTTTAAATGTGTGTTATGTATGTGTACACTTTGAGAGCAAGCAACTAAATTTCATTTTTAATGTGTGCCATTGTGCCCACAGTAAAAAATGACAATAAAGGCTATCTATTTATCTATCTATCTATCTATCTATCTATCTATCTATCTATCTATCTATCTATCTATCTATCTATCTATCATCTATATCTGTCTATCATCTACCTATCTATACCTACCTACCTACCTACCTAAATACCTCATCTATCTACCTATCATCTGCCTATCTACCTACCTACCTATCTACCTACCTATCTATCTATCTATCTATCTATCTATCTATCTATCTATCTATCTATCTATCTATCTATCTATCTATCTATCTATCTATCTATCTATCTATCTATCTATCTATGAAATAAGTTTTTAAATGAGTCGCTAACATTATAAAATATGCCACAGAGAAATATATTGAGTCATTTTTTGACTAATAAGATTGCCTTTTCAAAAACAGTAAGTCCCACTTCTCGTGAATCCAGTTTAATATCAAGAACACAGGTAGTTTTCGACTTATAACCACAACTGGGACCAGAATTTCCACTGCTAAGAGAGTTGACTGTTAAATGAGTCATGCTTAAGTTTACGACCTTTTTTGCCCACTGTTATTAGGTGAATCACTGCAGTTGTTAAATCAAATCAAATCTGGCTTCCTCCATTGACTTTGCTTGTTGGAAGCTAGCAAATGGCAATCATAGGCCCTCCAAGGTGCTGCAATTGTCGGAAATATATGCCAGTTGCTAATTACCCAACTTTTGATCACTTGACTATGGGATATTGTCATAGTTGTAAGTACAAGGACTGATCATAATTTACTTTTTTTAAGGCCATTGTAACTTCGAACAGTCACTAAATGAATGGTTATAAATTGAGACTACCTGTAGCACTATTTCAAATCCTCAGAATAATTAGCATTGATGGCCTAATACAACCATAACTCATCAGTCAAATGCCAAACTTTTGGGATATAATTTAACATACTAATATCTTTAACACAAACATATTCCCTATGAATCTACACATTAAAATATACTGCAACCAATTTTGGTCACCATATTACAAAAAAAATATTGAGACCTTGGAAAAAGTTCAGAGAAGAGCAATTAAAATGATCAAAGGCCTGGAGACTAAAACATATGAAGAACGGCTGCAGGAATTGGGTTTGGCTAGTCTAAAAAGAAATAGGGGTGACATGATAGCAGTATTCCAGTATTTGAGGGGCTGCCACAAAGAAGAGGGGGTCAAATTATTCTCCAAAGCACCATAAGGAAGAACAACAAACAATGGTTGGAAACTGATCAAAGAGAGAAGCAACCTGGAATTAAGGAAAAACTTCCTAATAGTGAGAACAATTAACCAGTGGAGCAGCTTGCCTCCAGAAATCATGGGCACTCCATCACTGGAGATTTTTAAGAAGAGACTAGGCAGTCACTTGTCTGAGATGGTATAGGTTCTCCTGCTTGAGCAGGGGGCTGGACTAGAAGACCTCCAAGGTCCTTCCAGCTTCTGTTCTGTTCTGTTCTGTTCCATTTTTATTTCTATTTCTATTTCTATTATTTCTATTCCATTCCATTCTAAAATATTATTCCAAAAATATTTCAAAGATTCAGAAGACCAAATCATATGAGTAAATGATTATCAGATTTTTTTTACATTGCTAACAAAGTAAATCTAATATCCATCCTTTTGAATGTATTGTTGGGATATCCTATAAATTTGAAATAAGATATTTTGATGAATCAGTTTTAATTTCCAAAATGAGCAAAATAAACAGATGAGTTGGTCATTAACAAAATAACAAGACAGTTGAAGATCACTAATCTTTTAATTTCCTTACTTTTAATCTATTGCTTGATATAGATTCAATTTCTTTCCACAGAAATCCCTGACATTGTAAACTGTAAACATCTTCGATATTTCAGGTAAGTTATTTTCTAACTACCTCCAAATGGGACGGGCAGGGATACATTACTCCAGAATAATTTCTGTCTATTTTCAAAAGAGGACACAATCTTTTAGTCCCAAGTAATTTAGTATGAACAGTCTATTTTCCAACAATGGCATACATCATATCAGTTTCAAATAATAAAACATTTTGAACATCGTATTGTGATTCCTTGTGTTATAAAGAATATTACTTTATAAATATAGGAATTTATCATTTAATAACATTCAATTGATGTACTGTAATTCAGAAATAAACTGAAAACATGTAAAAATTGAAGGTTTATATATTTGTATATCTTTGTCTTTTTCTCTATTTTTAACTTTATTAGTATTAGACTTTTATAAAAAATAAAATGTTATTCTTGATGTTATTTTAATTGCTTGACACAATGCCTGGGGAAATCCTATTTAGATGGAAATCCATTTAGGGTTAGACTTAAGCTTGTTTGACTGGAGGCTAAAACATATAAGGAACGGTTGCTGGAATTGGGTATATCTAGTTTAACGAAGAGAAGGACGAGGGGGGACATGATAGCAGTGTTCCAATATCTCAGGGGCTGCCACAAAGAAGAGGGAGTCAAGCTATTCTCCAAGGCGCCTGAAGGCAGGACGAGAAGCAACCGGTGGAAACTGATCAAGGAGAGAAGCAACTTAGAACTAAGGAGAAACTTCCTGACAGTTAGAACAATTAACCAGTGGAACAACCTGCCTCCAGAAGTGGTGAATGCTCCAACACTGGAAGTTTTTAAGAAGAGACTGGACAGCCATTTGTCTGAAATGGTGTAGGGTTCCTGCCTGAGCAGGGGGTTGGACTCGATGACNCTGGCATTGCACAGCATCAGCCGATGGTCCCGGGCCTGAGGATCAGAGGTCCCTGGAGGTCGAGTAGAGCCCTGAGGATCGGAGCATCCACAAGCTTGTAAGCAGCGTGTGCGTGCTCCCAGAACCCGATATGGTCCTCTGCTCCCGCCATATCTGCCCCTCCCACTGATCGTACCTATCACACCACCCTCCGCCAGCTTCCCAGTCTCCTCCCTTACCACCCCGCGCCCCCCAGACAGGACTGGCCTTGGCCTCAGAGAGGACTCCCCAAGTTCTTAAAACATGGGTTTTTAGCTAAACATGGTTTAGGAGCCACAGACTAATTAAATGTCTTTTAAAAGAATCTGATCACAGCAAAATTAGTTCTGTGATATAATTGATTAGATATAGCAAAACTGACAATGGGAGCAGAAGATAATTTCTTGCCACCTCCCTAAACAATTATCAGGATATTCTTCTCAGAGGACTCTTCCTCATGGTTTTCCTAACTGTGCTAGGACCCTGATTCAGTGACCATTTTTATGTTTTGTCTTCTTAATCTTTATCTCCTCCTCAGCCAACAGCTTAAAGCTGTCTTTAATTGTTCCAGTTTTAAAATATTTTTTCCTCTTTTGCTGACACATATTTTGTTGTGGATATGATCCATCAGTGATGTGATTACTGATGCAGTCATGAATGGGATCTGTACAGTTTCTACTGGCTTCTTTAGATTGATAGAGGTACATCCACTTCCTTCTTGCCCCTGGGCATTACCCTCCAAAGTCATTCTTGCTTGGGCTGCAAGAGAGCCTGGACACATAGACTCTCATGTAATGCCCATGTAATGCCTGTTAGGGGCTCTCTGAAACACTTGTGAACATAGATTCCTGGCATGTACAAGTTTATAAACACAAGCTTAATATTTTTTTAAGCTCAGGCTTGTGAGAGCTCCAGTTCTGTGCTGCAGAGTGGTTCTGTCACAAGTGAATCATTATAAGTTCACTCCTTCTGACAAAAGGTAATTTTGGGTAATTTTGCCCACTGAATAGGTTACAGTACTTATAGGTCCTACTGGCCATGGCCACTTGATGGCAGTAGCAGTTGAGATGGGGTTTGCTTATTATTGATGGCCCTCTCCTGTTTCATCTGTGGCTTCTCTCCACTCCTGTAATTTGGCAGCTGGGTTATTTTTGACATGGGTTTAGCACTCTTTCAGAAAAGTGCTGTGTTTAGAACCAGACCAATTGACAAGCAGCATGGAGCATTTCTGTATCTGAGCTGTTTATTTATTTATTTATCAAATTTATATAGCTCCCCATCTTGGTGCTTGGTGGGAGGAGAAACAAAACAGAAGAATCCACCAAGTGCCTTTTAAAGAAATTGCTTCACATTTGAACAACCTGAATACCACCATCCACCATCCACCATCTTTGTTACTGAAGCAGAATAGTGATCAGCAGTAAGGACAACACAATTTACGATGGCATACTTTTCTAGCAACCCGTGTACTGGATGATAGCATTTTAGCATAGGTCATTTGGCTGTGTTTAAAGGCAGAGTTTTTAATTTAAGCCACCTCCTTCTCTTTTCATTTCCACTCCTTGTATTGTTTCATCACCTGATGAGATTCCACCTGTTCTAGGCTATCACAGAACACCTCATTCTTTGAATCATTGATCACTTGGTTGCTCTTCATAACTTTGTTGGCAAGGCCAGGTCCTGCAAGAGAAAAAAAAGGCTCAGAATAAAAATAATAAATAATAAAGTACAATCAGAAGAAATAGAGAAGATATGTATGCGTGTGAATACATGTGCAAGTGATTATATCTTACAAAATCTGAAAATCCAGATGTGAGATGTTATGGCTTTCCCCATAAGGCTTTAGTACCTTACTAAAGTTTTAAGTGTTTAGAACTGTTATTGTGGACATATTATTTAAGCTGGCTTTGCAAAATGTCAGGTCCATGAGAGTCTGGTAATTGCAGTGGGTATATACATTTTATAAAGAAAAATAAATCTAAATTACAAAGTGACCTAATTTGATTTACAAAAGAGAAGGGAAATAATATACAGTGGTCTGCTTTGATCTCATTGCTTAGCTGGGCATCAATAAGCCAATAGGCTGATTTCTAATTTATGACGTCAGTTTTTAGAAAGCAGGAGAATGAGGAAAAAGAAAAGAGCCATCTTCTTCAAATCAGCTATCTCTTCCTCAGAATGGAAATGTTGAGAAGTTTTGGCTTTGCATAAAATGAAATCCTACATTGTTATGGCTTCTCTGAAGAAAACCTGAAAGTTTATGTTATTTGAGCAAGGTTACAAAGTTCTATCCAGAGATCTAATGTTCCATCACAGTGACGGCATTGGTTATTTAAAAAGACATCTACTGAAGAAGGAAGGAATTTCACCCTCTCATTAGAGACTGTTCTTAATGACTGAATTCATAAGAAGCAGGAAGCAGGCTACCAGCTCTTCCAATTATACCAATGTAATTTCCTCATAGGAGTGAATGTTTGCAGTGAAAGCAAAATCTGCCCTCTGCCTTGACGCAAAGTAGCTTCACTCTGTAACAATGATCCTACAGTATAAACGACTGCATTATTCAATATAAAGTGAAAGAAATGCACATTATCTACTGGGAATTCTTGCAGTATACACAGGGTACATATATCCCCTGTCACCATGATAGCATTTTATGAGATGCACTTGCCTGCTTGCTTGCAGTCTTCATGTACGGATGGATTTGGATAGATTTCAGCAACTCCATCTAATGAACTGTTTTGCAAAGAGGCAGTCTCTGAGTCTGCAAAAGAATAGAATGTTTTTCAATGTTGATTATTAAAGGTCTGGGGTTTATTAGTGTTCCCCTATCAATAGCTATAGCTTTGGTATTAGGGTTAGGGTTAGTAACTAGTTTTGTTATTAGGTTTGTAGAAATGATTCAATGGATCTGTTCTTCAAAGTCAATTAGGTCTCCAGCTCTTTGAAAGGTTGGCATGGCTGTTTTTAGGGACCCTGGCAAGGATGGATTTTAACTCTAGGCACACATGCCCAGAAATTTCAAGAGAGCCTCAACACACTTGTGTCAAGCCTTTGATCATATATGATGCCTTGGAAGCTTCAAGGAACCAATCCATCTTGCTAAATGATTTGCATAGTCTTGCTTCAAACCATGCTTTAATTTAATTTAAGCATGAGAGTATTATTTATTGAAATTAATGGCCACAAGGCAAATAATATCCAAACTGAGCATGATTGTTTCCAGGTCTCTGGAATTTCAAGACAAGCCCATGATTTAAAATAGATGATTGCAGAAAGGAGAGTAGTCACAGAGTACAGCAAGCAAAGAGCTCTAATTACTGTCCCAATTTGGAACAGTTTGGGCAGAAACAGCATCTTATCTGTAAAGATATTTTCATGTGTTCTTTAATACTTGGAAAAGAAAGTTCCTAAAAGATGTTTGGAGACTGGCTAAGCATGTAGTACTGATTAAAAGCTTCAAAATATCTCACTTCTCCTCAAGTCTATTATCTGAGACATATTCTAATTAACTAACATTAACTTAAACGCACATTATTTGATTCCTATTATACACAGCACTCCCCTCTCCTAATTTACAATAAACTTGAGAATTAGGTTAGGTTAAAAGAATGACAAGGCCAAAATCACCTTTGCTTCTATAGTTGAGTCCAATACTTTATCCAATATACCACACTGCCCACCTTATTTTAGCAGAAAAGCTTTTAGAATACATAGAAAAGACTGATCCAGAAAAGACCATCCACTGAGCTAAATGAAGATTTTCACCTTCCCGGAATTATTTAAGGAAACAAAATGATATAACTATAGCAAGAAATTGCTTCTGCATCTCTCTCTTCTCAATTGTTTGGCAAAATTACAGTGGAAATTTAATAAACAAATGTATTTCCACCAAAGAAAGAAATTAGGCTTAGGAAAAACTGGATCAGTATTCATGGGAGACTTTTGAGATAAGCTATTTGCTGGGTTTGAGGATCTTTATTTTAGTTATTTGATTTATATCCTGCTTTCAAGGAATTCAAGGTTGTAATCATCCAATATCCTGTGATTTGGGTTGAGTTAGAGAAGGTGAATGGCTCAAAAACACTTGCTGAGCTACCAACAATATAACAGAAACAACATAGTAGCTGCCTATATATATAGACCAAAATAAAGGCATAGGAGGGAGGCACTCCTATGAATAGCTCAGATGCCACTCAAAGGCAGAGAATGCATAGTGCCAAGCCATGCAGCCTATTTAACTGGATAGTTTTCTTGTATAAATTTTGCTAATAAAAATGGTATTCAAACTTAGCATGGGAAAATATCATTTCTGGGCACCTTCACAGTCCTGGCACCCTGGCAAGCTCACCATCTCACAGGTGCTTAGAAGCCAGATAGGCAAATTGCTACTTTATTTTATCCACAATGTCTCCAATGTAATTCACTTGGAGAAATGTTAAATCTTCACTTTTAATTGTCTGCTGATACACTGCTGTATATAAATTGCAGCCAGACCTAGTGGACAGCAGAGAATCCTTTGTTGAGAACCCCCTGAATTTATCCCAAGACCAGTTTGTAGAGTCACACAATGAGCCATAAATTACTCATCCTATTTTTGCTTGAACTATACATTAGGTAAGTCACCCTTGGCTATATTCACACAACTTTTTTTAAATTGAATTAACTACTTTTCTGGGTTCACATAATGTATTGAATCATAAGACAAACAAGCTTGATTTGTATTATTGTTCAGCTACAAAATACTAACCACAGTAAATCCTAACCAAATGTACTATATGTTTCAACTGAATATCTGTTAGGTCTTTAACTGACCTGCAAAGTGTGTTATAAACCCAGCCATTGAGTGGCTTTTGTTCATCACTGCAACAAGAGGTTAAGAGTTGAGAACAGGCCAAATTTCCTTTTAAGTCAACTGATCCCAAACTGCTCTGGAGATCTTTTGAGGGCTGCTTCTTGGGCCAAAGTCCCAAACATGTCAAAGCAGGTTTGATTGCTCCACTCCAAACTGATGAGCTACTTGAGCAATATGAAGTTAGGTCAAAGTATCTAAGATTAGGGCTTGAAAAGCAACAAGAAAAAAAAAATCATCTGGTTGAAACTTCCTGTCCTAGAGGACCAATGTTCCATAACCAAACACGTCTCCCAAGATCCCTAAATTCCCAAGACAAAAATACTCTGTGCACTAAATTGCATGGAAGCACCAGTAAAGTTCACACAGGAGGAGTCAAGAAGGAGGTTACGTTAGGGAGCAAAATGAGTTTTAAGTTTAGGTTGTGGATCTTGAAGTGTAAAGGGTATAGCTATCTAATCACAGCTGCTGATGAAAGTATCCCAAATGCCTCCCTCTCAATGCACTTTTGCTATCCACAAGCATACCTGATTTTTTCTTGAAGAAGGATTCGGGAGGTCTGGGCATATCATGAATCACTTCATAGAGGGGTTCAAAGTATACAAACATATCCTCCGAAGCTTCGTCCATCGGTACAGTGTTGATGACCTGCCAGAAAGTCTAGAGGTGATCTCTGGTGGTACAACACCATTCCCTGGGTCCCCATGAGAGATCTGGAAGCAGTTGCAATGATGGCATTGTTGAAACAAAGAAAGCAAGATTTGACCTACTAGGAGGCTCCTGAGATGCCTTCTTGATTTTCATAAAAGAATAGCAGGATCTCTAATTGCATTCAATAAAGGCATTCTAGCTCATGGATGGATACTTATTTGGAAGGTTTTCTCCCTGCTTGTTCCCCATTTAAATATTTTTAGAATTATTTATACTTCACTAAATTGGCCAGAAGAAGAGTTATCTTTGAAGTAGGGAAACAGAAGCAATAGATTTTTCTAACTAGGATGTCTTGAATGCAAAGTCAGAATGACGTTTGTGCAGGAATATACTTTTCTGCAGTTGTTCCACATCTTTTACTATAAACATGAAGGCCAGAAACTTGAAGCAGAGTGGAGGACAGAGGGTGGAAAATGATCAAGTAAAATACCTTGACATAAATTGCCTGCAATACAAATCTCCAATCTTAGATTCTGCTAATACATTCCAATTAAGCATGTAAATATTATGCAAGGGCTATTATGATACAATAATTACGGTAGCATGTATATAGTTAGTATTTAGCTGCTAGAGCATTACCCAATAAAATATGTCATATAAACTTAGTTGTGTGAATTTTAAGTCATTAAGCATAGATTCAAGCTGAGCCCTGAATGAGCAATTTCCTGTCATTTTTTTTCTTGTCTTCTCTCTTTGCATCTTTTAGCATCCCACTGACAGTGACACTCCTCACTACAAGGAGTTCCCATCCAAAGCCCTACTAACCAACCAATGATCCCATCCAATAATCCCATCCAAAGCCCTACTAACCAACATTAATATTTTGCACCATTTACCTTCTGGGCTGCCTTCTTCATTTCCATAATATAAGCAGCCATGGCTTCCTCTTTGGTCATCTTTCCCAACCTTTTCCAGGCATCCCTGCCAAAACCCCAAAATATCTCTTAACTTGGGCAAGTGCTTCATTAAAAAAAAAACCTGCCAGAGGTTGAACTAGTTTGAAATTCAGAATCTCTCAATAATGGATCTTTCTTAAGGATTTCTTATATGTGAGCACTAGGGATAATCTCTTAGGGATGACTGTTTATCAGTTTGTGTATGCTATGAATCATATTCTTTTATTTCAATTTCATGAATACTTTAAAATATTTACAGTCCAGTTTGAACATTTCAAACAGAAGACACTGTTTAAAACAAATATAAATTTTTAAAAATGGATTGGCTCAGCAAGTAGTCCTAATTGAGGAAACTCCATTGACAATGATATGATTTAGATCAGGGGTCCTCAACTTGGCAACTTTAAGACTTGTGGACTTCAACTCCCAGAATTCCTCAGCCAGCAAAGCTGACTGAGGAATTCTTGGAGTTGAAGTCCACAAGTCTTAAAGTTGCCAAGGTTGAGGACTCCTGATTTGGATTAATAATGGATCTACACCAAGAATAATTAAGCTGGGTTCAAGAGTTAAAAAATAGCAAATGATAATGATAAAAATAATAGAATTATAGAATTGATAAGAAGAACTCCAAAAATAGCCTTGTAGCTCTTCTGATGTATAAAAGTTAGTGGTGTTGGGAAGGGAGGCAGTCAAAATAGGCAAGATGGCAGTTGTATCTTGGGAATAAAGTCCCATCTTTTGCATCTGTTTCAATGTCAAAGGGTTGGGACTTTGAGGTGTTGTCATCCCCACCTATTTTGTCCTGTTCTGTAGAGAATGCTGTTCCAAAGGGACAGCTGCAAAGAAAGCCCTGTTTCTTACTGCCATAATTCTAATTTCTTTACAGAGGGCGAAATAAAATAGGACCCAAGCACTTTGCTGCAATTAACTTATAGGCTGATATAGACAGCACCTCAACTTTTTCACTCTCCAAATCTATAAGACTTTATAGATTAAAAGTGGCAGTTTTGTATTGGACTAGTATCCAGTGCAATAGAACAATATTAATTGGGTGGCCTTATACCTTTGTATGTGTGTTACAGGTAGTCCTCAACTTAAAACAGTTTGCTTAGCACTGAAAAAAGTGACTTGTGACCATTTTTCACACTTACGACCATTGCAGCATCCCCATGGTCACTTGATTTACATTCGGATGCTTGATAACTGATTCACATTTATGACGGCTGCAATGTCCCAGGGTCATGTGATCACCTTTTGCCACCTTCTGACAAGCAAAGTCAATGGGGAAACCAGATTCACTTAACAACCGCATTACTAATTTAACAACTACAGTGATTCACTTAACAAATATAGCAACAAAGGTTGTAAAATGGGGTAAAACTCACTTAACAAATTTCTCATTTAGCAATATAAATTTTGGGCTCAATTGTGGTCGTATGTTGAGGACTACCTATAGTTAGCAGGTATTGTGCCTGCTCTAGCATTGAAATAGCATCAGATGCTGGAGTCTAACAAAATTTATTAGCTCAAAACAAATCTCAGAAAAGACAATGTTTCATTTGGAACTGAGATAATTTGGCATTGGCTTTCTTACCATTTATATCTGCCAATAGGATCCCAAAATCCTGGCCTTCGGATCTGGCATTGACCCATTGTTGCTTGCTTGTAGTAACCGTAAAAACGTAGCATTTCTTCATATGAAGGGCGATAGGAACCTAAGGAAATAGAGGATACATTCAGGATCCTACATGGAAAGAGGTATTTGATGGCATGATTTCATTTTTAAGGTTCCCAACTGTGGTGGAACCACTAACTGAAGGGGAGGGGGCTTATCTAAGGGGAGTAAAGAGTCATTGCAGTTTGGAGTCTATTTGGGGGAAGAAACATCTGAGGTCAAGCGTGTTAGGTTTATATCTGCCCATTTCCCAAGAAAAGTTAACAGTCTGGTGAGATTTTTGTAATAGATGAACAATAAAATATCTATTGGACCTATTTATCAGCTGTTTTGCTTGCTAGTGCCGGACATCAATCTGTCTCCAGCCATAGTGCAATACTGGAAATAAAACAATGGAATCTAAGTTCACATAATTCTTTAGGGCATTTCATAAGGAGGCAATAATTGTCAATATATAAGTACATAATCGAGTGGTTTTCAGCCTAGTCACTTAAGCTAAATCAGAGGTTACCATACAGCTGCTTCTTTTGAATATTAACCAATAGTCATTGTTGTTTACATCCTTCTATCATGCCTCTGCTAAATTGAGTGCTATAAATAAACAATGAAAAAAAATGCAGAATTCTGCATCAAGACATACTGCTCAAAATGGGGAGAATACAGGTGTGACTTGTTTTTCTGAATTTAGAAACCTGGCTTCTTATTCTTTACAGTTGTTCAGAGAAGCCTGATAGGTTTAGCATTTGGTGTCAGCCCTTAGAGGGCTAGGTGAGCTAAGTAACCTGAGAGGATCCCAAAGAGATTCTTACCATTTTTGGGTAAGCCTTGAATGACCCGGACAGCTGCTTCAAACTGTGACTGGCAATTTGCTTCTTCTGTCTTCAACCCCATTGGTACCTAGTCAGATTTTTTTAAAAAAAGAGGTTGAAATTTGGAATGTGCAGACTCCAGGGGAAATAGGTTAAGCATGGGATCACCAAAGGACAGACACGGTCTTAATTCATGCTAGAAGTTGATGTGAAGGAATTAATGATTTTACCTACAAAGATGAACAGATATGTAACATCCAGATGAAACTACTGAAACGTGAGTTCTGCCAGTATTCCTGAATAAATATTTGTTTTATAATCATCTTTGCTGAGTTATCTGTCTGGCCTTGAATTACAAAGCATCTTGATTCAGGTTCGAGTACATGGGTGTAGAGATGAATGAAATGGTAGGAAGAAGGATGAGGAGAACTGGATTTTTCTTCCAGGGATAGAGTTACAGCAGGATCGTGTTAGAGAGTGTGCTTGCCCCGAGATCCTGTTTATTATAATTAACTGTTAATTAAAATGAATAATCAGTATTTATATAGAAAAAGGTATTTATAAAGAGTATTTATAAGTTAGTTGGAGAAGTTAGTCCATAAAGTCTTAGTTATATAGAACACGTAAAACAGATAAACATCCAAATTAATTTCCAAATTCTTAGCTGAGCTGCAATTTAATCTCTTGTTCCTAACGATAGTTCCAGATAGTGGGTTCCTAACATTACCAGTCAAAAACATGTGCAGCTATTCTATCTTTCCCTCCTTATCATATTTTCTGCAATTACAAAAAAAGTTTAAAAAGCACGAAGTAAACTCTGGAGGGTTTAAATTAAATTCTGTGACCAATGTGGAGTGATGGTTGCAGAAAAATCACATCAAAACACTGAGGGGAAATTAAGCTTAAATAATAATAGAAGAGAGCCAGACTCAAGAGAGATGATGTGAACTAACAGATGAAGTACTATATGATTAAATATTTGTTTGAATATGGTTAAAAATAGTTAAATTTTGGACGTGAATGGGTTTTATAATAAGAGAGATGTGATTTACAAGTAGTATAGTATTTTTTTATGATATGGGAAATGTAAAATACTGGGATGATTTAAATGTATGAAATGTTTTGGATATTTAAATATAATCAATTTTCAGAAAATTATAATTGACAAGAAATGTTTTGGTTACTGAGGGAAAATTAAGCTCAAATAAGAATTCTGAAAACAGGACCTATAGCGATTTACATAAGATGATTTTTTGCAAACGCAATAGTAAAACAAGATGATTAGAAAAGATGCTACAAATTGATGTAATTGTTATTCGTATAAATATTAGAATAATCTTTATATTCAACTTTATATGTATTGAAAATACTAAGAACTATATTTGCTCAATATTGGTAAAAGGAGAATATTACTGGAAGAAGAGAGGATCAAGGAAAGGTATTTCTAGTTAATATGTTGATTATGAAATCATACAAATTAACTATTATTGATTGTTGTTAAATATATGAACCTAGACAATACGTTGTTTACCAAGTACTAAAGACTGTTATTGCAGGGCCTGAGAATCAGTTCTTTTGCCAATCATGCAATTTTAGTTCACTTTGCTTCATTGTCTCATCTGAATTCAGAGCTTATTTTCCCAGGCAACCTTAAAAGCAACTCTTATCTAATCAGTTTCAAGACTTTATATTGCAATCCACAAATAAAGCTTTTGGGAAACATGCCCAGGCAGGCAGGCATGCAAAACTAGTATCATACCATCATCATAATAACTTTCAGTTGAAATTTAAAAGCAAAAACAATTAGGTCTTAACAGCCAGGTAGCTTTGCTTTACAGGTAGTCCTTGACCTATGATCAAAACGGGGCCCAAAATTTCTGTTGCTAAGTGAGACAATTGTTAAGTGAATTTTGCCTCATTTTACTACCTTTCTTGGTACAGTTGTTAAGTGAATCACTGCAGTTAAATTAGTAACACGGTTGTTAAGTGAATCTGGTTTCTCATTGACTTTGCTTATCAGAAGGTTGAAATGACCCTGGGACATTGCAACTCTCATAAATATGAATCAGTTGCCGAGTGTCTGAATTTTGAACACGTGACCATGGGGACATTGCAATGGTCGTAAGTATGAAAAACTGTCATAAGTCACTTTTTCAGCATCGTTGTAACTTCGAACAGTCACTAAACGAACTGTTGTAAGTTAAGAATTACATGCAGTACCCAGAATTTGGATGCAAAACAGACAAACAAATCTAAGTCTATATCTTGAAAATAAATGGGTTGGATGGTGATAGCCATTTTTTCCTACCTTTTATTTATTCTATTAGTCCAAGTAGAGCTGCTCCTGAGCAAATGCAACACTGAAGGAATGAAACTTTTGCATTCTCCTATTGGTCAAAGCACTGGTTGGCCCATGTTGTTTCTTGCTTGCCCTAAGTTTCCAAAGACTGAAAGAATGAAGATGACCATAGCCAGTTTCATAATATTTTAGAATATTTAATTTTCTCAAATTTGGTAACCTTAAGATGTTACTTGAACTCCCAGAATTCCCCAGCCAGTTGAAGTCTACATTTCCTATCATTGCTAAAGTTGAAAAACATTGCTTTAGAGGAATTGTGTGTAAATTGCCCTCTGTGAGCTTCTACCTCTGCGAGAATCGTCTTATCCCATCACATACAATGCAATGTGACAAACATGTTAGGCATTGACATGGGAAATCTAGGGTAGAGTATAGGGCGGAGGTTTTGTTCTGAAGCCAGGATTTAAAAAGACAAGAACTTCCCAAATCAGATCAAAACCCTTTCAAGTCCCAGATTGTGTCCCAACCAAATACCAATTGAGAAGCAAATACAAGGGGCAGGTGTGTGACAGTTTGTTTCAGTTCACATCCCCCAGCCACTGGCAATGGGTCTTTTACTGAATGTGATATTTAATCACATTGCTAAATAGCTATTGACCATTGTCTGCCATACATTTGTTTGCAGGTAATCCTGATGTTTACATTAGGAGTACCTACTCCATTGATGGCAAGAGACAGGTGAGCATTTCCTCAACCAGATCATTCAGACAATGCCAGTGGAGTATTACATTCAGTCATACTCTATGCCAAGCACTGCAGTCACCTCACATTTCTGTTTTCAGAGCTAAAATGATGCCCCTTGTTTGCCTTATCGATGCAACCCATGTTCCAATGCTTCAGGTATTAAACTCTAACATCCTCTTCTGTCTTTCTTTTGTAAGACCTTCTCAACCTCCTTGTACAATTCTGACTGAAATGTTCTTTACCTTTCTAACTCAGATGAACATCTGTAGCAACCATAAGTGTTGTCTCCCAGATTCCAAAACAAGGATCTGATTTCCTATTTCCATTTCTCCCAAATGCCATTTTATTCAGCAACGTTTACTATTCTGCCAGCCTGCACACGGTTCCAACAGACTCCTGTGATAATTTCAGATGATGTCTCTGCATTTTAAAACCTAAGCACTCCTATGTCAATCCTGATCACAAATTTCCACCACTCTCTGCTGATCCTTTTTTCCCCCTGTGCATCGGCAGACTTACAACCCCTTTCTGTAACTGCATTTCATGATTTATTTATTTCTGGGTCAACGTGGAAGCCCGGGTCTTTACTTCCGTCTTTCTCGGCCTGCCGCAACGATCTCTGCCGAATGGACATCGGCTTACCACAAGGACTATACCTCCGGCATCTAATCTCCATCTGGTGAACCTAAATCCGCTTCTCAGCTATGATCCCCTTTTTTCCTTTCAACAATTATTACATGGATATCCCTTCACCAGCCCTACCTCGTACTCGGTTGCATAAAGTGCTGTGCTCACTTCCCTCTGTGCCTGCACATCGCGTTTGTCAACTTCTTGTTCATTGCAACAGCAGCTGTTTCAATTTTGACCTTCTGAGTCCCGCCCATAATCATCCGTAGCGAGATTCAGCAAATCATTGCACAGCAGAGAAAGTTACGCCTCTCACCTCGGCCAATCAACAGAAGAAGATCCCCCGTCTTGATGCTACAGACCTCTCTATTATCTTGTGCTTTGCCGCATGTTTTGTTTTGCACCTCCATAACTTTACCTCTAAAAAGGGCCTGCCAGCGTCTCCTCCTGGGAAAGATCTTCTTTTTCTCCATTTAATGAATCTGTTCTTGGGTTTATTCGAAATCCACACATGCAAATGTGGTTTCCTGAATGTTTCTTGTAAAATATAGAATTGCCAACCTCGTGAATTACTTGTAAGATAAAGGCGTAAGGAGTTTCTTCAGTACTTGTCAACGTGAATTGAAAAAACTTATCAGAAGAGCTTGAAAGTCACAGCAAGAGAAAATCCATGGAATCACTATTCATCTTATTTATTCATTTGAATGAAAAGTATTGGTTTCTTTTGTTTAGCAAAAGCAAGGTGGAAGTGTTACCAAATTGGATATTTTGAGCAAAAGCAAGGTGGAAGTGTTACCAAATTGGATAAATTTATGCTGGATGCCAAGCAAACATGTTTGTATATTATGTGAAATAAAATAGAAGCAATTGAACTTTGGGCCCGCCTTATTTTGTCTGCAAAATGTCAGAGGACTACTAAATGGCAGAGAAGGGCTAGTGTTCTGTATCCTTTTTCCACTACGGTATTTTGCAAACTTGCAATGGCAGCTGTATTAAAAAATTTAACTGTGTGGTATCTTTATTAGTAACTGGGCAAGTGTATCAATGAGGATATTTAAAAGGAGGTACAAAGTCAAGAGAGAGACTGACCTATTGCCCAGGAACTGCACTATATTGACTCTGATTTTATTACCTTTGAAAGATATGAACTGAAGATAACAACATAGTGAAGAAATAATGGGACAGAAACTCTTGGGGACTTCTGAGTGCCAGTTTTTTAAAAAATGTTTTACATTTTAATTGATTGTATTTTAATTTTTAAAATGATTTTAAATTAATTTTAATCTTTTATTAACCCAGCCATATGATTGATTAATCAACCATATGCTGGTCCCATGCCAGATTAAATGGGGAGAGTTAAGAAAAGCAATGGTGAATTATCCTGTTTAAAAAACTCACCAGAATACTTCATGGCAATAACTCAGCATGACTCAGATATGGACAACAAACAGCGTACCCTCCAGGCTGGATGGTACTCACGGTTTTTATGACATTGTTGGAGGAAAGCCCAACAACTGATGGTGCTCATGACAAAAGAGGTTGCCTACACTATACAAAGTTATATCAAATTGGAACATGAAACGTTAGAGGCATGTCCCTTGGGAAACTGAAAATTGTAAAAAGAATGTTTAGAGCTAACATAGGCATCCTTGGCATCAGTGAATTACACTGGACAGGCAGTGGAGAATTCAAATCACATGATTTTATGGTTTATTTTTCTGGATATTGGGCAAAAAGGAGTTGCATTCTGTGTAACAAGTGGCTAAATGTCTTGAGAATCACAGAGCATACACTGATCACATAATATCTATCCAAATTCAAGGCAAGCTACTCAACATCACCATACTACAAATCTGCAACCCAACTGTAGACTCAGATGATGATAAAAAAAAAGTTTTACAATGAGGTTCAATATGCTAGAGCATATACCAAAAAAAGAATTTATATATATATAATGGGTGATTTCAAAGCAATGGTAGGCCACAGAGTAGTTGCAAGTAGTAGACAAGTTTGGGCTAGATGAACAGGATGAAGTTGGTGACAGTCTAGTGCAATTTTGCCAGGAAAATCATCTCAGCATAATGAATACGTGATTTATACAACACAAGCAACATGTAAACACACAGACAGCATCAAATGGACAATACTGAAATCAGATAGATTATATTTTATGCCAAGAATACTGGAAAGGTTCAGTTAAGATATTTCCTGGTGCTGATGGTAGCTCAGACCATGATTAGTGGCTAAAATGAAGCTCAAACTGTGCAAAGTGGAAAAAAAAATACTATCCTCCCAAAATTCAATATGAACAACATCTTACCTATGACTTTGAGTCACTATATTTAGAAGGGAAAAACTCAAATGAATAGTGGTGAGAGATCCAAGGTAACATTATGGAAATTGCTGGTAAGTATGTGTCATGCCAAAACCTGAAGTGAACAAACAAGTAGCTATCTGATGACGGTGTAGGACAACTTGGTGAGGCCAGCTGCTGTGGCCAGCTGTCAGTGACTCCCTTGCCACTGCCAAATTGCCTCTGTCAACTAACTGCTGCCAGGTTGTTGCAGGACAACTCAACATGGGCAATTCACTGTTGGGACAAATCACTGCAGGTGCTTGGCAGGTGGGCAAGTGAGTGGGTGAGCAGGTGGGCAGAGCACACAGTCACAGTGGCAGCTGGGGGCTTCTCATTTTCACATCTGCTGCTACCGCCGCCATTACCTCCATGCTGAGCTCCAAGTCGCTCGGAGTTGGGACTGTTTGGCAGTGGCAATGGCGATGGCGAGTGGGGCATTGAGTGGGGAGGAGGTGGTGACCAGGGTTTTCCCATTCTCACATTCCCCATTGCTGCCGCTGTTGCTTCTGTGTCGAGCTCTGGGCCATATGGAGTTTGGACCATTTGATGGCAGTGGTGACCAGGGAGTAGCTGGTAACTGGGGGCTTCCCATTTTCACCTCCCCTGTGGGAAGCCCCCAGCTGCTACCACTTTCCCACTGTCCACCCCACCCACCACTGCCACTGTTGAATGCTCAGAACTCCAAACAGCTTAGAGCTCAGAATGGAGGCAATAGTGATGGTGGTGGTGAAGGATGTGAGAATAGGAAGCCCCCTGCCACCATCTTCTTCTTAAGACCAGTGCCAGTTAACATCATCACTGCCCTGTTCAAGAGATATGGACTACATGTCAATGACCTCAGGCCTGGAAAAGATCTGTTTTATCCCATTAATAAAGAACATCAATGGCACAAACTGCTCCAACTATCACATGATTGCACTGATTTCTCATGCAAGCAAGATTTTGTTAAAAATTATTAAACAGAAGCTGCAGAATGTTATTGATCAAGAGTTACCTGATTCACAAGCTGGCTTTAGAAAGAAGTGCAGCACTCAAGATCACATTGTTAAGATTAGATGGATTATGGAAAAGGCTTGTGAATATCAGAAGGATCTTTATATGTGCTTTATCGATTACAGAAAAGCTTTTGACTGTGTAGAAAACAATAAGCTATGGGTGGCTTTGCATGCTCTTGGTGTTCCAACCCATTTGATCAGACTCATCAGATCATTGTACATTGATCAGGAGGCAACAGTGAGAACACTTTATGGTGACACAGATTGTTTCAGAATCAATAAGGGAGCTAGACAGGGATTATTTTATCACATTTTTTGCTCAATCTGCATGTTGAAATTATCATGCAGCAATTAGATTTGGAACTGCTTGATATTAAAGTGAAGATTAGGAGAAGAACCATAAATAATCTGAGGTACGCAGATGATACAATCTCTTCAAGACAGTACATAGCTATGGTCTTTTTGCTATATAAAAACAAATATTTATGCAGTCTAAACAATATTTTTCTAAAGACTCATGCAGAGGCAATATTGACAACACTGTAGGGACTATTGTCTCATTTCCTTCCCTATTGTGAAACACTGTTTATCCATCCAGTAAATTATTGTCTGTTGCACAGATGTTCTGGCACATATTGTTATATTATGTTTCTTATTGTGGCATGATCTATACAGTCAAAGAAGACAAAACAAAAATATTCTGTTTTGCTCTTTACATTATCTATAGGTATATTATACTAGCTACCTTATTTTGTGCCTCTCAATCTTTTCTTAAATCTGGTACTGTGCATTTGGAATTGCATTTACATATATGTCATATATTGTGTGAAGAAATAATGCAAAGTTTGGTATATTCTTAAATACCCCTATGTTGGTATAGATGTATATAGGGTGTTCCAAAAATCAAGTCTTACAGAAAATTTATTATATGTTACATTAAATGTTCAAATTGGCTGTCCTTCTTCTAAACACTTTTTTCCTCATTTGATTCATATTTGAACATTCTAGAGTTCAATACCATTTTCAATGAAAAAAGCAATAAAACTTTTGATATACTCTACATATATTCATACATATATATGACAGTTGATTTATTGCTTTTTATATCTCTTTTTTCTATTGGAACTGGCTCCTTGATATTGTTTTCCTACAAATGTTTCTGTCATTCTATAATTCTGCTTGTAAAGGGTTGGGGAAATATTTTTCTTTTTTTAAAAAACTACAACTTTTATTAAAACCTTTAAAAAAGATTAAAAACTGGTACAAACTAATGTAAAGTAAGAAAGAAAAAAGCAAAAAGAGAAAGCAAAAAGAGCCAGTTTGATCTAGTGGCTAGGTACCAAGTTAGACAGCAGGAAACTGTGAGTTCAAATGTTACCTTAGCCATGAAAGTCAATGGATGACTTTGGGCCAATCACTCTCTCTCAGTTCAACTCACCTCACAGGGTTGTTGTTGTGAGGAAAAATACCAGAGAAAGAAGTGCTTTTTCACCACCTGGAGATATTTGTAAAAACAAAAGGCAGGAAATAAGTAAATAAACAAAGTTGAGGAAAAGAAAGAAAAGAAAAACAATGGATTGGATTCCTATATTCTTCACAGCAGTTATAAGCACAATTTTCAATTTTCTTCTAACACTTCCCTTTCTTAGAAGTCTTACATTATTACATTTGGATAATTTTGTTTAATTTTCCTGTGATTTTTTTTCTGACCTTCCTAAAATATATTTTAACTTCTTGTTATTATTTTCTACTATTTACTGATATTGATTGAAATATTTGATCTTGTGATTATTTACTCCACAGTGAAAGCTTGTGTTCACTGCCTGCATCCTTCTAAATGTCCAAAGTTCTCATTCTTTGTTTTTCCATGACTATTATAATAAATTGTTACAAACGCCAGATAAATATGGATCACAACTGGGAGATAAATGTCTTTGGCCTCAAGATGGTGCTGTTTCCCTGCATGAACAAAATCCATTTGTAAAATAGTGTGTGCCAAGGTACATGAATGAATATCTTATCTTTGACTGAATTTGTGCTAGACTCAATTGAATTCAACATCTATACTTGGAGTCAACCTTAAAAATGGAATATCTCATGTGTTTGCATTGTATTTGGATGGGAGCTGTAAAAGTTTGCACAAGTAAAAAACTGCAAAACCTCTTCTGATTATATTCATTTAGAATGTGCTGGAAGAAATGGATTTTTATCCCTTTAAAAGATGAAATAATCTCGGTAGGTGTCTCCTCAAGTTACTCAGAGGGTTGTGTGTATATCTGTGTGTTGGGTTGGGTTGAGGGGTATACAGCTCTTTCTGATTTGGATCCTCATTTTTGCCCTCTATGGTGTTTCTAAAGATGACAATTCTCTTTTGCTTGTCTTTTCCTGGGTATCTGCTGATGGTTGGATTCATGCTGCTTAGTATATTTACCTAATATAGTGGGAATCCAAATCAGGTACTACACGAGTCTTTTCAAATGTGTCACTCAAATAAAAAAAGTTTACTCCATGAACTATATTTTCTTTTAGTAAATTATGGTAAACAGTGCCATCTTTTTAAGCCGCGCCCCCTTTCTTCCAGGCCTGTGCTATGGCCTTATTTTCCATATCAAAGGAAGGGATATTGTTTCATTGAAGAGTAAGGTTTGTTGAAGTGGAAATGGCGTAAGTGGGGGCCTTACTACAGCTTACAGTACTTCTGGAGTAATTATCCCCCATTTTATAAATATAATTGCAAAAATTGCCAATTATGTAGCAGGGCGCAAATCAATCAGTCATGGTTTATTTATTGTTTTCTTCCCCGAAGTTGCCCTTCCTGCTCCCCGAAATTCAAGAGGGCTACTTCTTGGGGTGATGTCGGCGGCACCATCGATTTTCCCGGCCGCTGGGAAAGGTGTGAGCCGGAACGCGGATCCTCCGGCCAGACAGCCGACGGGCGGGAAAGAGTTAAAACTTTCGCCTCAGCTGTAATTTGAGCATTCCTGGCAAGCTCTGCTTCTGCAATCTGCGCGCAGCAACGGCGAGTCACAAAGGAGGTTGGACAAGCAGAACTTCTCTAGAGGGTAAGGCTGCCCCGCAAGTGGGGAGCCAGGCCGATAAAAGGGCTTCCTCAGCCCCAAACTGAAGGATAGGGGAGCCAGTAAGTTCAGCCATGTTTTGCGGAAAATGGAAAAAGTCCCGCTTGGAAAGTTGTCACCACCAGCAGCAGTTTTCTGCCCATCACCATGGAGGAACTACCAAATCCTCGGGACACCGCGCGTTCAAAAAATTGGGTAAGTGAAGTGCCTGGCGAGCTGGGTATCCCCGGAGCGAGGAAAAGGCGTGCCGCGCCTTCCGAGATCTTTCCCAGTTATTTTACTGGATTTAGATGTAGCGCTGATTAAAGTGAGGGCTCAGCCCTGTCATTTTTTTCATTTTTGCCAGAGCTCAGTCCTGGATGTTTTGTTAGCCTATAGAAGAGGACCTCTAAGCGGCTGCAGAGTGCATTTCCCCGTCAGCCAAATAACTCCCGAATCCAAATGGATTAAGGGCTAAAAAATTATGGTGTAAAACCTGGGAAATATAAAAATATTTTGTTTTTCTCTTGAAATGTTTACAGTTATTTTTTTAAACTTAAATCGTCTGTATAATGGAATAACTTATTCCCATACACATATTTATTTAGCGTATGGTGTAGTAATTTCCAGTTTTTTGAGACTCCAGGAAAATATGTGAATCGGAAGGAACTTATAATGAGAACAGCTGGATGACTTGTTCTGTTTTTTTGGATTTCAAACTGGAAATTAAAGAAGTGTAATAACTTGATCTTAAGTCAAAAGATAGAAAAACATATTTTAAAAAGCATGAGCAATCTTTTCTCTTTTAGTAGGGTGACATAAGTGAAAAGAGAATAGTTATTTTGTATTATCAACTGAGTAAAATAATTTCTTGACCTCTTCATTTTTTTTAACAGTGAAATTATATAAAAGGCAAGGCAAAATTAAAACTGAGGTAAACCCTTTTAAACTATAAGAGAATGAATCTGTTCATAACATATGCATTTAAACATACCTGTGATGTTTATATGATTCTGAACATGCTCTTTTATTTCAGTTTTGTATCCTTCCAATATATTCTGAATATGATAAAGTTTTTTCTTTTTCTTTCTTGCACTGATACTTCAAAAAGTATATAGTAGATTGTTCCTGGAGAAGAGGTTTTATTTGCAGATTTATCATCTTTATTCAGGAAATCTTGAGATATTTAGCTCAAATAGATTAGTCAAGGAAGTACTTAAATTTCCTAAGAAAAGACATAACCCTGCATCAGGTTGTTTTTATTACAGGAATGTGGGGCCATTTAAAACTAATGCTGTCAAAGTCCACCCTGGAAACTAATTGGTGTTCCAGGAATTTAGCTTTAAAGTATGGAAAATAATAGTAGAGTATTCTTTTTTATGATGCATTATCTCAACAACCATGTATATTCTAACTGTAATGCCTATAATTTATTGGACACTAAATTATGTAATATCTGTTAGGTAGTAATCTAAGTAAATAGCAACATAGAAAAAGTTGGTTTCAAATTTCCTTTCAGTAATTTGTAGTTGATGTAGGAATTGAAATTTTCAGAAAATATATCTATAAAATTAAATATTTTATCAAATACTAAGCTAATAAAGTACAGCTTTATAATTTGCAGTGAAAAGTTTTTTTTATTTCCTAATAGCATTCCTTAATAAAAGGGTGCATTAACAATAAACATTGTAATTCCAAGTTAAGTATATAACTTATAGGGATAAAGAACTAATTTCTACGGGTAGATATTTCATGCCAGACATTGTGGGAACTGATTAACCTATTCATTTATGAATTACCTATCCATTTAAAAAATGCTCAGGATGATGTGCAATAAGCTTGACATTGCCTTCCAATATTCAAAATTATTTTCTCAGAAATAGTGCTCTTGAGGATAATGGAGGTAATAAAGTGAATATAATAAAGCCACCACTCTGTATTATAAAGATTTTAAAAATATTTATTATGAAATTTCCCTTAGAATTAATATAATGGAGCACAAAACTAAAGAGGAGTGACATTTAATTAAAAGAAAACTGGTTTAAGTAACTTTCTGTGAAGTATGAATGAAATGCATACATTAAACAGTGATGCGTTAAACAGCTTTAAATATTGATTTGATGGTTCTTACATTAAAATCTTGCATCTTTTATTATAGCGTTCCTCAACCTGATACCATGTAAGTGAATTGGGACAACCACTTCCAAAAAATTCCCAGGCAAAAGATATACAGCATATACTGTACCAACGAAATTGCTGTTATAGCACTTGTAGAAGGCAACAGGTTGGGAAAGAATGGATTAGTGCAGGGGTCCCCAACCCCCAGTCTGTGGACCGGTACCGGGCCACGGCATGCCAGCAGCAGGTCCACACAAACAAGCAAAGCCTCATCAATGGGATGCAGGCAGCATATACAACCACACACTCTCCGGTCCGTGGAAAAACCTTTCTCCACGGAACCAGTCCCTGGTGCCCTAAAGGTTGCGGACCTCTAGATTAGTGCAATATGGCCCTATTTCCAACAGGAGAAAAAAAACCCAACAAATACTGTAGAATTCTGCACCAACTGAAGCTTTTGTTTATCAAGTTTATATTTAGCTATTATATACACACAAATGCATGTACATGCACAATATACTATTAATTGGAAATATATCCCATCTTTGTATTTGTCTAACAATCAAGCTGAGTTACAGCAATTAAAACGATAAAACATCAGAATAATATAAAGTTAAGTCAAGTTTAGAACCAAATAATTATCTTTTAACAAAAACCTTTTCTACTAAAGATTAAAAGCTTCGTGGAAAAGAACATTTTTCACATTTTCCTAAATCATGGAAGGGCCAAATACTTCCCCTCTGGAAAAGTTTTAAGTCATGGGAGGGAGGGGAAAGGCTTTCTCCTGTGTACCAGATATATGAGTTTCTGGAAATGGAACTCTGAAGTACAAAACAACAGTGTTAAAACATTTCTAAAAAATAACAGTATTTAAAATGATAAAATAAACAGCAGATTGTTAGCTCAGCTGATGAAAAATGTAAGTTCTACATTTACTCAAAAATCAAATTAAAATATTGAAAGTATTAGAGTTATAACTTCATCTTTATTATCTACTGTTTAATTGATGCTAACTGCCACACACTTTCCCCGGGAAAGAGATATTGCAAAGCTAAAAAAAAATCATTAAACATTTCCTTTCTAGTTGCCATTATATGTGTATAAGAGCTAGTTTGGTCTATTAGTTACAGTACCAGGCTAGAAACCAGGAAACTGAATTCTAGTCCCACCTTATATATGAAAGCTGGGTGACTTCAGGCCAATCACTCTTCTTCAGCCCAACCTACTGCACAGGGTGGTTGTGGGGAAAATAAGTGGAGGAAGGAGTATGGGGTATGTTTATTACCTTGCGTTATTTTAAAAAATAATAAAGGTGCGATAAAAAAAATCTAGTAAATATCAATGATATTCAGAGGAATCCCAGAGTGAACTCTTCAATGGCAAACTTTGTGGACAAGTTTTGTGTTCTCCAGGATGGCTCTTTAAAGTTGTAATAATAATAATTGAACCTGCAGATTTCAAAAGTGATTTTTCTCTATTCTCTTGGCTCTATAATGTAGCTATACTGAGATTTGAGATGGAAGCCACTCTCTTGAGTATTTTGATGTAGACATATTCATGCTAAACAATACATTAAACCAAAAAGAAGGTTGGCAATTTGTGATTCTGTAGAAACCCATCCATTGTTATAGCAAGCTATGGGAACTAGGTCATCATGTAACTCATAATGAGGTTTACTTATTTGATAAAAATACCTTACATAATTATGGAATTGTGTTTTACTAATCCCTATTTAACATGCTGAATGAGCTCAGGCAGGGTCTTCATGTTACCATCTTTCTGTACTGTGTGGGATAGTTCTGGAGAAAATTGGATTTATGGAATATATACTTAGTGGCATGTATGCAGAAACGTGTTGACAGGAGCCTGCAGGAATCCTTTGTTAAATGTTGAGGATGATTGGGGATCTTGTTAAAAAAATTAGCTTGATAAAATTTAATATGTGACCATAGATGGTGACAAGCTAATGCAAAGAGAAGCAGAGGAGAGATCAGCTGACAGTGACCTAGTTATGATAAGACAGGCAGTGTAAGAGTAAGTTGTGTAAGCTCAATTCCGCATAAGGAAGGCTGGATAGAAGAGCACTTAAGGAAGACTTGAGAAAGGATGGTCTTTGCTTTTTTACCTGGTGGAATTTTATGTCTCTCAACAAATTGCTTCCAGATACTGTAGAGCAGGGGTGTCAAACTTGCCGTGTCATGTGACATGTCATGACGTATTATGATTTTTTCCCCCTTGCTGGAGCTGGAGTGGGCACGGCTTATGCGTGATGCATCCGGCCTGCGGACTGGCAGTTTGACACCCCTGCTGTAGAGGAACAAAATGCCTCTGTTTTTATGAATTGGCTGCGCATATCTGCATCCATTCCTCTACTCTAGTGATTCTCAACCTCATCAACTTTAAACTGGGTGGACTTTCAACTCCCAGAATTCCCCAGCCAGCATGTGGAGGTCCATGTGGAAGTCCTGCCACCCAGCTGGCAGGGAAATTGGAGTCTACTCATCTTAAATTTGCTGAGGTTGAGAAACACTGCCCTACTCACTAGGGTGGGACTGAGCAACATTTGAATCAGGCTGTAAATTTCCCACAGAGAAAAACAACATGATTATGAGCTGGGTGGTTACAACACAGAGGACAGATGGAGAGTCCTCTCCAAATTGGTGAACAAATGATCAGTTATAAAGTGCAAGAAGAAAAATTAGATGCAAGGGGAAGGGGTAGAACATTGTTTATATTTGTAGAGGTTATTTTTGGATTATGGCTTGGTCAACTTATCTGCAGTTCTTATGAACTTGATCTAAGTGATTCATTCTTGTCTCTTGGATAAACTTTACTTTCATCTAACTTCTACTCCCATTGACCTTGTTGGCCTTCTGGCAAGGACTGATGGGAGTTGGGGTTTCAGCAAAATTTTTACCCTTGTAGTAGGGAATATTCTGTTCTTGCTGCTTAATATGTCCTTTGTAAAGGGAAGGAGGGAAATATTAATTTACATCCAAAATACAGCACACTGAAAAACTCTAGGATGAAGCTTCCTGGTTGTATTCAGGGTTGTCTCCTTATATTGCAAGGGCTTTGTCAAGGCTAAAAGCAGCATG